GTCATCAAAAAATATTAGGATGAACTTCCTGAGGTAAAGCTGAAAACCACTGTTCATGAGAGAGTGAAATGTGGTTGGAACTTTGGTAAGACTGAATGGCATCACCAAAAACTTATGTCCTTCATGAGTCCTGAAAGTTGTCTTGTGCACCAGTCGACTTCATCCTAATTTGATGGTATCCCAATTTTAGATCAATCTTTGAGAAGATGACTACAACAAAAAACTCATCAAATATTAGAATAGAAAACTTATCTAGTACAGTTTCCTCAGAACTTTGTAATCAACAAAAAACCTATACCTACCATCATTATTCTTCACCAATAAGATTGGACTAGAAAAATGACTCACATTGAGTCTAATAATCCCTGCCTCGAGGATCTCCTTGATCGAATTTTCTATCTCATCTTTCTAAATCTAGGGATACCAGTATGGTCTGATACTGATAAGAGGAAGTCCTTCCTTCAATGTAATGCCATGCTCGTGTTCCCTCAATCGTGGTAACTGCTAAGCAGTTGAAAGATGCCTGAAAATTGTTGCAGGAATTGTTGAACGCAATCAGAGAATTCTACTAGCTCTAGATCTCGAGCCTCCTATAGACTTTGCAACCACACCAAATAGCTCAACTCTGCTCTTCGTATCATCTTGACCATGATTTTAAGGGAGATCATGGTCTAGCACAAGCTAGCATCGCCTTTTAAAACCACCTTCCTCCCCACCACCCAGATCTCCATAATCAAGGATTTCCAGTCCACCTTCCTCTCTCTCTATAGCTACTTCATACCAAGAATCACATCAATACTTTCCAGATCAAAGAGAATGAAGTCCTCCCCTTGCATGTCTTTTATAGTGTTAACACCAGTCTCCTATAAATTTCCCGACTTCATTCCACCTTCCATTTCCCCATCATGACCACAAAACTTTTCGTATGTACCAACTTCAACCCCAATTGGCCCACTAACAGAATTGAGATGAACCTGTGAGTGGCTCTCACTACAAGCAGCTCCTCGATCTGTCCCTACACCTTCATGGTGTGATTTGGAGTAAATCTCACTCCTGAGTTAAGGGGAACCTCTTCTACATTCAAGTAGTGCTCTTCTACCTCCACCGCTTCTTCATGTAGCTCCTCATAATTTGTCTACTCCCCATCACAAACTGTAAGGACTTGCAGCCTGTGATACTTGCACCAGCAGCCTGGTGCTTACATCTCATCACATCAAAAATATAACGTTGTTGTTTTGTCCTGCACCTCCGCCTCTATAAGCCACATAAAGTTGAACCTTGGACAGGCCCCAAATTCCTTTCATTCGGAGCCTCTTTCTGAAATGACATTGTTTGGGTGCTCAAGTCCTGGTAGCTGAGGTACTTATGTGGAATTCTACCGTGATACTGCTTTTGTTGATCCTCTCCATCTAATTTGTATTCCACCATGTGGGTTAGCTATCTGCCTCAATTCCCGCAGTCTCAACAATTGGAGTGGTGTACTTATGTCGAGCTTTATACCCTTCATGAAATTCTACTCCAATAATGTTTTAGAAACCTCTCAGTCGTCCCGACAACTCGAATCTCTCCCTATATACTGCATGACAGCTCCCTCTTGAACAAATGCTAAGAATTGTCCGTGTAGGTCTCCTTCCCAAATGACTCAAAAATATTATAACAAGTAATCCTTAAATTCATCCCATGAGTGGATTGAGTATCTAGCCTCCCTCCCTTGGAACCATGCTAGGGCCTTCCCCTCCAAACGAAACCCTGCAGCCAAGAGCTTCTCCTCCGCATTTAGCCCATTCACCACGAAATATCAAACCACCTAGTACACCAAAACATCTATCTTCCCCCTCGAAGATTTGTATTTTCAACTTCCTAACCCTAGCATCTCCACCCTAGCTTCCTCTCCCTCTGGCGGTTCCTCCCATGTATCTAAGGTGAAAATCCCTCCTTCGATCATAGTCAAACCACATCACAACTTCTCTCTTTCCTTCTTCGTTCTCCTCCATATCCCTTGCATAACCATTCCCCTTGTTTCAGCCCAAACTCCTCCCTCAAAAATCTCTAAGTTACCCCCCATCAGAGGCCTAAGAAGGGGTTCTTGATGGTGGATGTATTCCTCCTCATGTTCCTCTCATCCGAACTCTTTTCCTTTTGATTTAGTTCGGGTTTGCAATTTGAAGCGTCGACGGGGTTTTAGATTATATCTCAATAAGCCTCCTCATCATCTTCTCCAAGCTCTAGAATCGGCCTCAAATCGATTTTGCACAGAGAAAAATCTTTCTTCTATGATTGAGAACCTTAGCTCCATCTCCAATTTAGGTTGTCCTGCTCCTTCCAATCTCTCTTCCAAAGCACTACTTTCATTATTGTTATCTCTCCAAGATCTCATTCCGATACCAATTTGATAATGAATCGAAGCCAAAGTCGACAAAAAAAATTACAAGCAAGATGTGAGAAAACCCAAATTAAAACTAACTTGATCAATATCAAAGCAAACAAATAAGCTACAAAGGGTAATCTATAATTCAAGAGGTTTATCTTCTCTCCAAAAACCCTAGACGTCGATAAGAACAAGAAGACATAAAGAAACTGTAGGAAATCAAAAACATAAAACCATACCCTAGGGGATTAGCCATAATAAACACCAACAAAATACATCCAATCGTTCCCCCAAAACCCCCCTAGTTCCATCTCCTCACATACTTGAATAGGGTCACCCGGAGGCTGGAGTCCTCATAGACATAACCAGGAATTTCCGCCCCAACCCGCTAGCCTGGCCCAAATTTACTGGGCTAGCATGTCTGGTTGGGTTGGGCCGGCTCAGACCGGTCTCTCTTGGACTGGTGTAACACATCCTTCTTCCTTCTTTAATTCGTATGACTGATAATAGTCCATTTAGAGATGTTAGGTTCTTTCAACTTGAATCCGAATATAAATTTTGGTTGAATTCATTATCCAGTCATGCAAGAGCTCACAAATTTTTGCTTTTTCTACAAATTGCTTGAGAATCATCACCCTTAATACATTTCATCTTAAGATCTTGGTAAGAATCTGATTCGAACTAATAGAACTTCATCGTATTAAAATATTCAATGACATGGAAATTACCTTCCTTGACTTCATGTTTAAATCTAAGTTCTGATTTCACACATTTGCATTTTTTTAGTATATTTAATAGCATCTCAAACATCTTTTGCATTTGTGAAGAATATTTACGAGCACTAATTTCAAGAATCATGGATTCCAAACCGTCTGATCATAGAACCTACTTCATTTCAAAGAGCAAACTTTGAATCTTTCGGTTCTGGAGGAGGGTCCATAAGAAAATGAAAGTTTTCCTTTCCTTCAAAAAAGGCTTTCACAATTTCAGACCACTTTGAGTAATTTATTCCATTCAGTCAATATGAAACACTTCCAAAGCTTTTCTTTAGGCTGATGCTCACCATTCATAATAGTTGACTACTTAAGCAGAAGATTAAAAAAATTGTACATAGAGATGAAGAAAATGAAGAATAAAAATAAATATTAGAAAACAGGACCTCGGCCTAGATTTGACACCATGTAAAAAAGAAGTGGCTAGGAGAGCTTACATTGCTCATGCTTTCAATGAGGTATTCATACACAAAACTATATTAAGAGAAAATAAATAAATAATTACAATAATAAACACAAAATCGCCCTTAGCTATCCTATTGTTTGATCCATTTAGGGATTGTTGATTGATGCTAAGGGAACAATATATGAGCTCTTTCATTGCTTTTTTAATATGAATCTATGAGAGGTATTTCCTTGTAAGCAATAAATCTATAGCCTCTATTTTTTGTATATAGCTCTTCCACAAGCCCATTTTGATCCGATGGCTCTTCAATAGTTTGACAAAACATTTTTTTGAGATTTGAAATTGAAAGTATAATTAATTTTTGTCTTTTAAGACTGAATGGAAGCTTGAATTGAGCTAATATTAACAAGCATACCTATTAGCCCGGGGGGAGAGAGACTACAAATATATGTTTTGTGGCATGTTACAATTTTAATTGAATTCTTTCAATTTGCAATCTTATGTGTTTGAGTATGATACAGGTGTGATTGCCAAACTCCCAAAAAAACTTCACCTTGAACCGACAACAGTCATAATTTTCTTATATTAGTAGTTGTGATCCCTGCTATCACATTATCTACATAATTTAAAATTATACTAAGAGTGGTTTTAATTTAATTCAAATTTTACAAAATTAAAATTTAATTTTAGAAATTAAATAACTATTGATCTTTGATTTTATATGGTTCAAAATTCATGCTAATTTCTTTGAATTACTCAATCACTTCATAAAAATTTGGATTATAATTCTTGTATTTTAATTTATATTTAAAGAAAGCATGTTGAATTACTGTGCTGTCAGATGTAAATCCTCCAGTTTCCTAACATGATTTTACACAATGCAATATTAGTTACATTAAGAAACCATAAAAAAAATTTCCTGAATCAAACAACTCATATTCATACTTTAGAAATAAGAGGCATCTTTTAAAAGAAACAGAGTGCGCATTCAGCTCAATCCCATATTTCACTCAAGCAAGAATGAGGAACAAAACAAAAAACATCATAATCACTATCGTCCTGAATATTCTGTTAGATCTAAAATAACCCTCCATCCGCTATTGTTTCCCTTAAGAGAAGCATGGGAAGTTAATACTAAGTTATCATGAACTTCTGAATAACCACCAATCATCCTAGCGTTGGCCTTCAACTTACCAGCTCTCATACTTAATTCCATGGCCAATTATCAAAACAAAAAAATAAAAAAATTATGCAAATTTAAGCAGTAGAATAGCAGAAAATCAGCAAACACGGTCGAATGCCCACAAACACATCATGCTTAGTACCAATTATAAACACATATTCTATACTATATTCTACAGGAAGCACAAAATTTAAAGGCAAACGGATAACTCTCAGAAATTATAGTAATAAAAAAAGGTTAAAAAATCATTATTGTATATAATATCCTTGCCTGGTAAGAATTCGTCTGGAAAAAAGAATTGGCTGATATGCTGAAAGTAAGTCCTCTTAAAACTTCGTTAATGGTTGATTTTCCATAGAGAGTGTATTCTTGCTCCCCAACAGATGTGTTACCAACAGATGAATTCACATTATTCATGACACTAACCTATTTCCAGTAACAGCAGTAATAAGAAAAGTCAAATCATTGCAGAGGTAAAAGAAGGACAAGAATTAAAAAAAATTAAATTAGCACAAATTTGAAACTCGCAGAATAGTAGTAAGAAATTAGCAAACATGTTTGTTGATTATCTTATGCTTATAATGTGAACATTCATTCCTTTAACTCATTAACAAAGTGATGTATAAAATAGTATTAAAAAAACTTTCTACCGGTGATGTCAATAAAAAGTTCAGTTTTAAAAGGCTAAACAAACCACTTCAGGTATGGTTGAAATCTTCTCAACAAGACGTGCCAGCAACTCAGGTTTGTAGCTTGATGTTACAAAATTAACCATTACTTCTGCAAAGCCGGTCTTTTTATCCCTGATAAACTAGATATGAAGCCAATTTCAGTATGTAATAATAATAATATTTAAAAAAAAGAAAAAAAATATATATATATTCTAAAGAAGAAGAACATTACTAAAAACTATCAGAAAAATCAATGCCCAAGTGAAAGATTTAGAGCCCTAATCATACAAATAAATCAAGAAAGTACTACCCAAAGAGAAAAGTTATAATAAATAGATGGCATTAACAATTAAATGCCATCATCATGTCATGACAATTTTTTTTTTCATTATCATCATCAATATCCCTACTCCAATTATATAGTGTCACTTTTTTACCTGAGGTGTTACATGTTGTATTCATATATCATTCGGTTCATTTCACTTCATATTTACTTAGATCTACCACTTTTTCCTTCGTAATCATTCAACGCTAGTTTTATTTACCTCAATGGCACACTTTCTACACATTGTTGTTCATAAAATATCCATTTAAATCTATTTCAATTACCTTATTTTCAATAATATAATATCATTCAATTAATATAATAATTCCTTTTATCCTTTTTAATTCTATCACAAACCAAACTTAAAATTCTCATTTTTGGCATGCTCAGCTGCCAACAATTTCCAATATTCATATTCATATAGCATAGCCAGCCAAACTACAATTATATAAAATTAAGCTTTATCTTCATGGTATCCTCTTATTATGTAATACTCTTGGACACTTTCAATTGAACCACTCAACCTAAACTCTAAAATTTATATCTTCATTTATATGTTAATTTAACTATAGAATAGATTCATAATACATAAACCAATCACACCTAGTTATCACTTTGTCTTCTAATATATTAATATCACATAAGCTAAAGTTGCATAAAATATACACACAACTTTATTCCACTATCTTTAGGCCCTCTCATTGGAACATTTCTCAATTACTTTTTTGTTTCCACTTATTTTAATAAATATATAGAACTTTTTAGCATAAAACAATATTTTTTCTACAAAAATTAAGTTATTTTAGTCTTTGCTCTACTATTCTCCACTATAACTTTATTGTATGACTCGTACATTTGTAATTCTACCAGCATAAAACTACTTAATGAAGAATATTAAGTAAATGTGTTAATTCAGTTTAGCAAGTCGAGTTCAGATTTAACCCAGAGTTGACGCGAACTAAACACATTTGTTATATATGTTAAAATAATTGACCTTCACGCTACTTGACCCAAATGCAACCTGTCTAACCTATTTGTTATATGGATCATACAATTTTTATAATCGATCCGGCCTAATTAACATAAACACAACCAAATTAGCTCAACTCAAACCCATATAATCCAAGCTTGAATAGTAAAACGAGACAATTTCTGGTCAATAGAGTTAATCAAAACACAAACTGAATAATAATTAAGTCTAAAAATTAAACAGAAACCCAACCCAAATAGTAACCGGATCAACCCAATCTCAAATTTTTTAGTCCAATTCTAGTCATATTGTAGTGTTCGGTCATTTATTGATACTCTAATAATAGGCATCCATACATTGAATGGGAATAGCATATTATCATAGAATATTTACTAAAAGGTTTTTAAATCTCGATTAAATTTTAGTTAGGCTCAGGAAATCGAGTATCATGTATGATATTCAACTAAGGAAATTAGAACAAAAGAAACTGTTAGCAAGATCTCACAGTTTAATCGTAAAGTCATGTACCATAATCTTTAAAGTTACTTAAGTCTTTGAAAACCATTAAGGTTGAGCTGTTAAGATAACAAAGATATTATGGCTACAGATCTGCAGTCTCTATTACATGCACCTAAAAAAAAGATCAAAAGAGTTTACCTTCCGGTTCTTAGCATCAAGTGTTTAAGAAATCCACAGTGGGTATGTACATCATAGGGAGAAAGGCCAAGGCTTGGTTCTCTCCAACAATCTTGAACAATTGCTAAAACCTATAAAATAAGCAGAAGATCAATTGATAAGAAAAAAAAAACCATTAATATTAATGAACAAATAAAGCAGATGGTAGAAATTCATCCTGTTCAACGAATTTTACATAGTTGGGTGTGGCTAAAGTCTGAAAGAAACTTAAATTATTTTTAGGTCAAATAGCAAATAACAAGTCAAGTAATTTAAATAAATGAAAAACATAATAGAAAAAAAAGCACTCAAAACCAAACCATATCCACTAAAAAGGGTACAGTAGCAATAGCCTTAAATACTAAAGACCTTATACTAACTTCAAAATACAATTACGCTTAACAGCATAAATGAAATCTGCAGTGAGAAAAAAAGATCACCTTATTAGCAGGTTCAGTTTGCAACATACATTTATCAATGTGGAGCACCTTATCAAAAAAACCCGGAATATGCAATCCCAATGCATAGCCATTCTCGGTCAACTTTTGGTCCCCCCGAGAAGCACCACTAGGCACCCAACTCTGAGCACCAAAGGAGAACTCCATCTTAACAGCAACAAAAATTAAATCAATCACATACAAAGAATAGTGTGCAATTAGATATTCATGAAAAGGCGGAACAGCATGAACCTTGTTTCGGTAGTGAAAATGCAAGTCACAGGGAACGATAGGTTTTAAAATACAATCTTTTTCACAGTCCATGCTGGAAAACCTACCCACATGGATGATCAAGTCTCGAACTTGAAGCTCCTTGGCCTTCAGTTGTGCCTTGTACTGAAGATTTTGGGTCTTGCAACCACCGCAGTAGGAAGCATACTCACATGGTGCTTCAACTAAGTCCCAATGTGGGGTGATCGTTTTAAGCTTCGTCACCTACAACTAACTCATTTTACTGACAAAGTAGATAAAATAACCAACTATTCAAAGAAAAGAATAGATGTTTGGAAAGAAGAATTTAAAAAAAGTATAATTATTAAATCGTGGGAGTGTTATATCCTTGAAGTTGTTTGGTATTCAATATTATATAGTTGGAGTATAATCCAGAATTTTCTTTTAATGCAAGTAAGAGAACTTTCCAAATCCTCAAATACTACGTAACACCCAATTTTGAGAAATAGAGTAAGATTTTAGCACTTGTAAATCATATCCCAAATTTGGAATCCCTCAAAATTTGATCGAATCAATTTTATAAAATTCTACATGTTGAATCGATCAATTTAAAATACAGTACCATGCATGAGTTTTTTAATAAATGAGAAGATATTTAATTTTGAAGTTATAATTTTAATTACCCTTAATTAATCTTAACTACCCTCTTTGATCCCGCATCATTACGGTAGCCAACCGACCTACATCACATTTACGCGCGCATGCAATGGTCTGATGAATTTAATGGTTAGGAGTTAACAGGATTAAGTTAAATGTCACGCTCCCTTCATTTCCCCTCTCCATGTTTTTGGTTTCGCACACCTGTGGGTCCCGCGACTTGATCTCTATAACAGGAGCGAAACCGGCGACCGCAGAGTCCCGTAGCTCACGGCTAGAAGTTCTGGGAAGCTTTTGGTAAGAAAAAACTCTATTTTATGACATTTTGGACATTTTTTTCCTTACACTTCCATTTTAACGTTTGACACTAATTAGTGCACATTTTCGTTTTCGATCATTGTGGCAGGAGGTGAGCTTGAGTCAGAGACTACGAACATGGTTTGTGAGCTTCCGTATGGGCAATTAGCAGGAAATCAAAGAAGGGAAGGAATGAAGGTTACGGGGAAGGAAGAAAGGATTTGAAGTAATTTGTAGGGAGAATTCATGCAGAGCAGCCCATTCGAGTTAAATATTAAAACTTATCTTTATGTGTAGATTAAATGAAGACCTAAGATAAGAATTTATGAATATCCTAAGAGGTTTATGAATTTCAGATTGTTTATACTAGGCGGCAAGCTAGAAGCGAGCGTGAGGAAACTCGTCGTAAGACTGCTCCGTCAATTCAGGTGAAATATCATGTACAAACGTAAGAAAAATAAATCTTTGTAGGTTTCTATGTGATTATATGTTCGACACTATATTATCTAGAACTTTTTGCATAGTGTGGACGAATATCTGCATAAATTATATGAAAGGAAAGTTGATTTGTCACTTATGATACCTAAGATTTTACTATGTTATGAATCTAAAGAAAATGCTTATGAAATCATTGTTTGCATGTATTCATTTACTATGATTCATTCATATGATAAATGAAATACCTATGATAAATGTTTATTATAGAAATTATTATTTAAGAAATTTCTCAAATGATGTTATAGGTTGTTAAAGAGATTCACTGTTTATTGTATTTATAGTTTATACAGTTCATATTTATTTATGTTCCTTATGTATTTGATATTGATTGTTTTATATTTATTTTCGTTCCTTATGTATTTGATATTGATTGTTTGGATTTTTTACGTTGTATGTAAATGTTTTTTCCTTTTTGCATTTCTTTTGTTTTTCTTTTGATGAGTTTTGGAGGTATATGATGAGACGTTTAACCTTATGGATTCATTTGGATGATCTGTTTATCGCTATTGATTGTTTCACACGTGAAATCCTAATGAAGACAATCACGTTCCTCTCTTTTCTTCAGTGTTAAGATTTTTGAGGTTCTTTTGGATAGTCTTTTTTGATGATATGCATATGTGCACACATGAGCTTGGTATTACGTAGTTAAAGACAACCAAGAACCCTTTTTTATAAGTTTGTTGTCTTCTTGTAGTGACAGATTCGTTGGTTGATATACTGAATTCTCTAAGACCTCATAGCTGCCTAAAACTATACTTAATTACTTTTTTATCAATTTTTATTTGTGAAATGTCTAATGGGATGTATTTTAAAGAATTCAGGAAAGATGAGCTCGAGGATATGTAGTACCTATCAAGAATTGCACTGCTACTATGGACTTCAAAGTTTTCTGCTAACTTCTCGTCAGCCACATAGCTACGGAAGATAGTTATACAGGTGACCGCAAAGAATCAAGAAAAGTTGACTTTTTCGATAGATAAATAGGCTGGAAGATTCCACTGTCGAGAGTGATCGGGCATGGAAAGTATCCTTGGAGGACGACTTAACTCGTGACATACGTCATCTGTATTTTAAAAATAATATTTTCATATTATTAAATATTATTTTAATATTACTTTTCTTAATTTTAGTAATCATGATATTAATTGTTAAGTGAGATATATATTTTTTTTAATATTTTATACTCAATTTTTGCTTCTAAAGTATAAAATATATTGGTATGACAGTTCTGTTGCAAACAGCATTACTATATAGGGGCAGAATGGTCACTTGTCCAGAAGCAGCTGCAATACAGCTATTTTCAAAATGCAAAAACAAAGAGACAGTCAACTTATCCACAGCAGCTTCTGCGTAGCAGCTTTTTATTAAGTTGTGGTTGCACCAAACAGACCCTGAATCGTGTCACTGTAGTCACGATCCTGTTGTAAGGCTTGGACACCACGAGAACTCGAGAAAATCGAAGTTTTTTTCTTTGTACGATGCTTCCTCACTGTTGGCTTCCCAGCTAGCTCTGATAGCAAGGGGAACGCCTAGACGGCGTGAGAGGAAGAGAAGAATGGGAGTTTCGAATCTCTGTACGCTGCTTGCCGTCGTTGCCTTCCACGTGACGGTTTGTAAGGAGATCATCACTTGGTAAGCTGCAAGTCTGTCGTTGCCTTCCCAGATCGCTGCAATCGTGAATGTATCACGAGCGCAGGAGCCGTCATCGAGACTGTAGCAGCCCGTCCTTTGCTTCCCTACATGATTTTGTACGCAATGAAGCTTCTCATGACTTTTTCGGCACTGAACACCACGATCACTGAACGTCGCAATCCCTTTGAATCCTGCAATTATGACTGTATCTGGATTAGCTTCCCAAGTGCGCAGGATTCATTGTTCCACAGAAATCATTTGTGGCTTTCCCTGTCATGTCATGGATCGAAGTTATCGCTCTTGATCCTTTTTCTTTGATTCCAGAACTGACGTTGTGATACCAATTTGATACGATTCGATGTCAAAATCAGCTCACATCTCTACGGAAAGTAGGGCGAACATAATTTTTTATTGCAATAATTCAAACAACTTAATAAGAACATAAAAGATAAGCACCTACAATTCGAGAGGTAGGCGATCTCTCTCAATTCCTATAATTCGAGAGATAGGAAATCTCTCTCAAACCCCCAACCTAAGACTCACAATCTAATGTCATGCATAAACCTAACCCTAGACATAACAAGCATACTTATATCTAACAACAATAATAATAAAATACTAAATTGTCATTAGGCATACAAAAGACAAATCTTCCCTTAGGTTAGGCACTAATGTAACACACTATTGATTGGGCCTGTAGTTCCCAAGGAAGGGTAATCATCGTCATCAAAGAAAACCCAATAAGCACAGTTCTCATTCATGTTATGAGGATTTGCTTTTAAGTAGATAATAAATAGGTTGAATGCAAAGCTTTTCTACTAGATTGCACTCCATTTGTGGCAATGAAGCTCATCATTTAGCAATAATCCTAAACCCTATGGCTTCTATGTCTTGTGGTCCTCTTGATAACCTATATTTCTATCCTTCTCGCCCTCAGAACTTGAGTGTTATCACTCATCTCCGCTTGATCTCTTGTAACAATTCTAAAAAGAGTTCAAGAATCAAATGCAATTAATCCATTCTAATAAACAGTTCAAGTAAAAGATTCAACCTGTTTACTCTAAATAAAATTGGATCCAACACTTGCTATTGACAGGATACATGGTGATAAAAGTTTAATCTGACAAAATCCTTAATTTTCTAAAATCTAGGATTAAACAACTTTTAAAAATATGTTTGTGAATTTTTCATAGGGCTCGTTCAGTTATTTGTAAACAAATAATATATTTTAGAACATAAAGATTCATTTTAATCCCTTTTATAATTAAAAATAAAATAATTATTTTTGGAAACTTAAATTTAATATAGAGCTGCAAATTCATTTCAATTTCTCTACATCACACTAATCGAAGGAATCAAAAAAATTCACGGTTTTCTGGAGCCTAGTTTCTAATTGCGAGCAACCAAATAGTGCTTTAGAAAGAAAGAAAGTGTAGAAAGATAGAATATATATATATATATATATCTTAAATTAAACATATTCACTCATGCCAGTTCCAAACTAAATCCAGCCAACTGACATTATGATAAAAATTCAAGATTATTTTAGAACAATTTTTCTAATTGCAAGCAACCAAATAGCCCTAGAGAAGACAGAGGATTAAAGAAGGCTGACCTCAGCGTAATTTCCTTTCTTCCGGGATACGCGACCGATGAAACGTTCGCCAGGGAGAGCGCGGTCGCACATGACAACAAAGCCCGTGTCGGCTACCTTGCAAACCCCTATTCCCCTGAAGGCGAGGGATTCGCAGACGAGCTCCAGTGATTTCCCTCGCTTCGGGAAGAAGGAGGAAGTCGAAGGGGACTCAGGAGGGGGAGGCGATGAGGATGACTCCACTGAGGAGTGAGGAGGAAATGGACATGAGGAAGGAGAGGAGAACGACGAACAGCGGACGGCTCGCATCCATGGATGTGCCGTCAGCCGAAGTGCACCAGAGCATCCAGAAGAGGCGGCGACCGCCATGGCTTTGGTTTCTGAGAACAAGAGAAATGGAAGCTCAAGCCTGATGGGACCGGCAAATTATTCTATCAAGAGTGTACTAACCTACAGGAACATTCCGACACCAATAATAGGTTGACATGTGGCCTTCACGCTCCATGCTCAAATCTATGTAAATAAAAATGAAAACCCGCGTGTTTGGCCCGGTCCAACCCAAATGTTTACTATTTTGGTTCCTATTTGTTTTTGTTGTGCCCAGGAGCTATTCTATTGGTTTAGGGTTTACAGCTTCGATAGACTCCTCACCGAACGACGACATGCTCGAGGTTTTGCAGCCATCATTTTCGCCGAACTTGGAAGATGAAGTGAGTTTAGCTAATACTTGAAATGTTTTAGTTTTGGTTAGCTCAAATTTGCTTCTTTGTTGTTTGTTTGGTCTAATAATAGTGTTATTTTTATAATGTATGTTATTTTTATTTGTTTAGGGTTTAGTGAGATTGAAGCTAGGTTTTACTTTGCACTGGTGTTATTTAATGGTATAAGTTTAATGTTATTCGCATGTAGGTTTGCTAGGTTTTACTGTGTTATTGTGGTGTTACACTGGGTTTTATTGTGTTAGTTTGGTGTTATGTTGGGTTACTATTGTATTTTTTTTGGATTCAGGGTTACTTTTTATCAAGGTGGTATAATAATAGTTCTGTTCAGGTTTAAATAGTAAGGGTAATATGGTGTATTTTCGGTCATTGTTGTTGTGTTATTGAACTATTTTGTTGTGTTATTCTTTCATTATTGCATTGTTATTGTTAGTCTTAGTGGTGGTACTGGTATGTTTTTCTTCTGTATTCTGTTGGTTGTTGTTGTAGTGTTATTTCTTAGTTTTTTTATGGTGTTGTATGATATCAATTAACTGTTATTATTATGAATGTCAGGTTATACTGTGTTATTCTATTGTTATTTTGTTGTTAAGCTGGGGTTACGCTGTGTTATTCTTTCCTAACAATGGACTAAATTTGTGCAAATGTGCAGTCATGTGAGCAGAGAACTATTTGCAGTGATCCAATTGCAGTGATCCAATTGCAGAGAAGTTTATCGTCCACAATGAGCAAGAAGCTTATGAAACTTATTGTGTCTATGCACATCATGTAGGTTTCAGTGTTCGGAAGGACCACAGTAGTTATTATCTGAATTCAAAGAAAATGAAGACCAAAGATTTCCTTTGCAAAAAAGTTGGTCACAAGAAGAAGTCTAACCTCATGAATAGTAAAGTACAAAAAATCAGACACGAGGACTGGTTGTCAAGTTATGGTTCAATATGCAGTTGTCCTTAAAGGCAATTGGACGGTAACGAAATTCATTGAAATTCACAACCATCCCTTGGATGAATGTGAGCATCTTCTTCATTTCAGTAGAAAGATAACTGACTTAAATGCAGATGTCCTGAGATCAATGACAGGATCAGGGATCGGAGTAACGAATGCACATAACTTCATTGCTACGGATAGGGGTGTAAATGAACCGAACACGAAAGAACAAAGCTTGTGTTCGTGTTTGGTTCATTTAAAATTTAGTTTGTTTGAAATAAGCTCGTGTTCGTTTCTTAACGAAAGAGCCGAACACGAACCGAACACGAGCTGTTCGCGAACGACGAGCCAGTTTGACATCCCTAATATTAATATATAAAAATAATATTATATATTAATTATATAACTTATATTAATTTCAAACAATAACGATTCGAACACGAACGAACGCATCATTGTTCGTGTTTGGTTCGTTTAACTAACCGAACGAAAAAAATTTGTTCGCGTTTGTCTCGTTTACTTATCGAACGAATCGAACACGAACTCATTGACGAACCGAACACAAACTGTTCGCGAACAACGAGCTTTTTTGACAGCCCTAGCTACGGAGGTTGGGGGAGTGGAGAATTTGGAATGCACTAAGAGGGATACGTTCAATTTCATTCAAAGAAAAAGAAGAGAAAAATTTGACAAGGAGATGCCAATTCTCTAATACAATTGTTCATGGTGAGGCAAGCCAACGATAGCATGTTCGCATGGGATTTCCAAACTGATGAGTATGGTAGATTAACAAGTTTTTTTTTTTGTGATGGGTTATCCAGGCTGAATTATGATTGTTTTGAGGATGTAATCATTTTTGTTACAAGCTACAGATTAATAAGTATAACTTATGTTGTGCTCCCTTTGTGAGAGTTAACCACCATTGGCAAAATGTCATGTTTGGGGTTGGCTTCTTGTCCGAGGAAACTATTGATTCTTTCAGATGGTTATTCAAATCTTTTATAAGAATAATGGGGGGCAAGCATCCATTAAGTATTTTCACTTATCATGACCAAGCAATGGCAAGGGCTATTGAAGAATGTCTCCTACAAATACGACATAGATTATGTCAATAACATATCTACAAAAAAAATTACTTCAAAAGTGCATTTTGGAGTTTCTATCAAGAGCGTTACCGGTATTTTTTTATAAATGCATGAGTAAATGCGATTCGGAGGAGGAGTTCGAACAAACTTGGTCCTTAATGTTGTTAGTGGGTGACCTAAACAATAGCGCGTGGTTGCATGAGATGTACAAAATAAGACACAAATGGTCCACTGCCTTCAATCAAAGAAATATTTGAAATGGAAATTCTATCAACTCAAAGAAGTGAGTCAACAAAGAATATATGTAATGGTGTTTCAAAGCTCACAAGCTCGCTGACAAATTGTTTTATCGACCTTGAAAATATAATGAAATCATGGCACAGGAATGAGAAGGACGAAGATTTCAAATGTAGCCAATCTATCACTACGTCGATGGTTAGAGTCAATTGAGTTTTGAGTCAAGTTTCCTCTTTTTATACGAGAAAGCTTTACGCAATGTTCGAGTAAGAGCTGTTTAATGGGTTATGTGGACTCACACTTAAATTCTCCGCAGATAATGGGTCCAAATATTATATATGCAAATTGGATAATGATGACACATCCATGACATGGGTTGTGAATTTTGACGATGTTAACTCTGATGTCACTTGTAGTTGAAATGAAGAGGGTGTTGTGTTCGCACGCACTACATGTTCTTAATGTGGTTAAAATAAATATCATTCCTGAAAAATATTTGTTATTGAGATGGTTTAATCATGCAAAAAGAGACATCTATATCATGTTTGAATACAAACACCTCAGGGAGTCCCAAATGATGGTTATTTCTTCAAGTGGCCTCCTATTCCGTTCACAATTTCTAAATTTCAAAAATGAAGAAATGTCTTTCCTGCCCTACTGCAAACAATGGCCATCGTCTTCCGAACAAACAATGGCAATCCTCTAGAAACCCTAGCTCCGAAATCTAAGAGACCAAACGTCGAAACGGGGAAGCTCTGCTCTCGAAACGGTGCTCTTTCGACTCTTCGCGCTTATTTTTAACGCAAAAGTGTTTTCGTAACGTTCTTGGGTTAGGGTCGGGCCGGTTTGCGAACGTTTTTTTTTTTTTACCGGAATTTCATTTGAGCCCACCATATCACGTGTCACCATATTATTCGCCTTCGAATGGTCCTCTACGTTAGGACTCTTGACCAAATACGAGGTCGATGGGACCAGGGGTTGGTTAGTGGTCTTGCGTTGGTGCATAATCAGGGTCATATCCTCAAACAATAAAAATAATAAATAAATAATATTGAGTTTATCAGTCTTGTAATTTATTTATTTATATGAATTATATATTATAATTTTAAAAAAAAATTTACCTCAAAAAATTGTTTCTATCCTTATCCTTTTTCTTGACATGAGCCTTCTAAAATTTATTATGCTCTTCCTTTTCCTTGTGTTTGTATCTTCTTCCTAGTAGTGATCATCTTTCAAATCATTTAACAAATTTTTTTCTTTATAAATAAATTTTTTTTTCATTTGCACTTTATTTAGAATAGACATGGTTAATTAATGAAGGAAAAGAAAGAAGATAGATTTTATAACTACATTTAAATAAAAGATTTAAATGTCAGGTTTTGTAATTCAAAAATGAACTTTGAATGATGATACAAGCATAAAGCCATTTAAGGAGAAACTTGAAGAGATGATTACAAGCATAAAATTGATTAATAATTACTTAAATTGTAATAAAAACTTCAAGGACATTGGTCTTTAAAAATGTTTTTGTGGAGTGCAATATTTAAGAGATGTTTAAAAGATAGGTTTTTATTTTATTGTTAATAGTATACATTTTAATCATGAGAGAAATAGTATGTGTTTGCTAAAATGCTAGCAATTATTGAGTAAGAAAAAGATTTTTTTTGCATTCCCATAGAGAAGAATTTCATGGGTTAGGAAACTTAAATGGCTAAAGAATATAAGGTCCATATTAGGGGGAACATCTCAAAGGTGGAGAAGAAGATAGCTACAAAAAAAAAACCCCAACCAACTGTATGTGCTACCTTCTTCTAGCATTCAACATATAAAGTCATTCTAAAGCCAATGAACAATTTTGTTGAATTCTTTGAATGTAATTTTTTGAAGAAGCTAACTTAAAAGAGAAATAAATTAAATTAGCAAAATAAATTAAGTTATTTCAAGCTAAGGAAGAGGTGATTCATGTAACTTCTAGATAGTCTTTACCTCTGGTATCCAAAAATTAAGTGTGATCTAATATGTGTATTGACCTCACCTTTGTTCATTATTTCATTTGCACCTAGAACAAACTCAAGACCAACTCACATTACCCTCAAATTCAAAATCAGTTCAAGTCGAGTAAAGGACGACCAGTTCTCAATTTATTTGACCATTCATCAAGAAATTCAATCTTCATGGGATGGGACCCACACTTTGTCTTAACTACCTCGTCTTGAAGAAAATGTGGTCAAAATCCACCCCGCCTTTGAAATCTTTGAGTTTTTCTCTATTGGGGTGGGTCAAGGTTCGTCTGTACGTGAGCATGCATGCTCCCACTCTCGCATGCCCGCACGCACCCCCTGCACGTGCACCTGCCCTTGGACCGGCGTGACCACGCTGGATCGAGCAAAGCCAAGTTCAAAAGTTTCCGGACGTTGTCACGCTCAGCTTGGGCGTAGCCACGCCTGAATATTCCCTAGTGTGGTCACTCCCAACGCAAGTGTGTCCATGCCCCCAAGCCACGCCAGCGATCTGCGGACTACTTTCTCGAATCCGACAGTAACTCGATATATTGTTTTGTTGTTAGTGATCCGTGGGAGCTCCAACCACCTGAGGAATCATGACCGTCGATCCCTGCCTCAATCTACAGTCATCAGAGTCGATCCATGGGTAGCAACAACTTCTGCTACTGCATCTATCACTCTCTTCGATCGAGCTTCAGAAGAGATGCAATAGAGTGCCTCCTCCCTCAGTTTCTTCCCTACTCCAATGATCCATACGGTCCTCCTCTCTAGCAAGTCTCTTCCCTCCTCTTTTTGTATTTTCTTAGACTTTTTATAGTTAATTTTAAGTTAATTTAATTATATAGTCTTGGATTAAACTTGACTTTGGGTCTAACTTAGGTCGACCTGAACGCAACCTAACTATACCTAGCCTAAACCCAAATCCAAATCTAATATAACCATACTTGACCTAAACCCGGACCCGACCTACCATCACTCGAGCTTAAACCATGAATTTACTTCATTTTGATTTAGTCAAATCGCTATTGAATTTTTGAAAGTTTAAATGAAAATTTGAATTATTCATTTGTTCAATTTCAGATATAATTTATACAGAATTTACTTCAATCCTTGATGAAATCTTGAGTCATGTTATCACTTCTAAAGCTCAGTCAAAATTAATTCTAATAATGAAAATAATGTCCCAAATTTAATTGATTTAATAGAAACAATTATGAGCTTTTAGACGACATCTAACTCTTCATTTTTTTATTATAGGAAATCTCGTCAGAAAAACTCATACTCTCATTCGAAGACAGTGTCAGCCTGAAATCAAGCACATTTAACAAACAATCAGCCATCAAGTTTGACATCAGTTTCAAAGATCTAAACATGCTTTGTGATTTCTAAAGTGACTACAGTTAAACTTGAAGAAGCTTCTCAAGAGTAGCCACAAATTGAGTTTTATGTGAGGGAATCAGTTGATGGCTTTTCATTGAAAAGAAAGCAAGAAGATGTTTTGAATGATCCCACTAACATACTTGATGAATCGCAAATTAAGTTTGTAGTAGTGAAGACTACACTCATTAAGAAAAAGCGAAGAAATAATAATCATAGAATAAAGAAAAAGTGTCAGGATTGTCCGAGAGACAGAGGTTAAACAAACACCTAGCGTTAAAGAGCATTTATTGTAGATATGTCTCCAATGGTTCGGGATAGCGGATTTAGATATGTACCACCTTCTTTTTTCAAGATGTATCTCCCAATAAATTAGAACAACCTCCAAGGATTGAAGTTGACAATGCATTGGCCCAGTGCAAGCAAATGGGGATACAAAGTTTTGCATGTTCGAGCGAGTCCAAGGAAAACTCATCGATGTTTTGGAAGGAGAAAAGCATTTCATTTGATTCTTTCTTGAGATAGATCAGCAGAAGATTGTCCAAAAGGTTTATGATTTTCAAGACAAAGGACGGTTGCCATGTAAACTCAATTCCAATTCTACGGGAACATCCCACTTTGCCCTTCTGCCCCCAATTTTCTCCAAAAATTACAAAAATGCCTCTGAAACCCTAAAAATTCCCAAAATTACCTGAATTCTCAATTCTTCACCAAAAATCATTTTGAACCACTTCAATTACCACAATTACCCAAATACCTCCAAAATCCTCAAAATTACAAAAATACCCCCACACCACCCAAAATTACCAAAATACCCCCTAGTACCCTAAAAATTGCCAAAATCTCCAAAATCATTCCAAACTTCACCAAAACCCATTCTAGCCATCCAATTTCCTCAATTGCACCCAAAATTTCCCAAATCCACCAAAACAGGCCAAAATTCCCAAATTAACCCTAAATTCTTAAAGTCCCTAAATCACTCCCAATTTCCACCATATATATATATATTCTATGTGTGGATTGCATGTATGTGATCATGTGTGTGTGAACATGCTTATATGCGTACATAAATGTTTAGTATAAAATACATAAATATATTGTGTGATCATGTTTAATAATCATAAGCTAATATGCTACTATTTTAAAATATCTATTGGAGATATAAAATCTAAATTTTTTTAAAAAATATAGCTCTTAGCACGTCAAGAGATAAATCACATCTATAATGTATTATATACTTTTAATGATATCAACTTTAAAAATAGCATGTTGATCTTTTTGTATTTCAATTTAAGGAACAAGCATACATAAATGACCCCAAGTACTTGTAAGTGTAAATATCAAATTTTAGTTGTTAGATATGTACCTATTTCATATACATAAACATACATAAAATGCAATTCTTTTCTATTTACATATCTAACATCTAAAATTCATTATTTAGTTTACAATCGACCTTTAAATTGATTTTTTATTATGAACAATTCATGCTCTACAATAAAATTCACAATTGAATTTTAAATTGATTTTTTATTGTGAATAATTCATGCTCTACACAACAACTTAGCGGGCTGAACACACAAAATTTGACACATTTGCATAACAAGTTGAACCAAACAATAATTGAACTTGTTCAAGCTCGGCTTGTTTGCACCCTTACTTGCCATTGCCTCTTTTAGGTACAACCCAAAATAAATAAATAAAAAATAAAAAACACAGATCTATGAAGAAGGAAGCTAAAGCTAACATATAGGCTCTAACATATAGGCTAGAAATATTGTTTATAATAATTATTGTGTAATCAGTTTAAAATAATGAACAAAATAAATCAAGATGAACACTATTTACATTGCTAGAAAACCTGAAATATGTTGTAATGAGAACCCCATAAAAAGAGTTTGAGGTTGAATTGAAGAATGTTGATGGATTTGACGACGCATCTTAGCATCTGCCAGGCGTGGGATGCTTTCTTCATCTTCTTCTGATGCTTCATTTGACTTTAGGAATTCATCTGCCGACCGTTGCTCCTTCAATTCATATTTTTCTTGCTGAATAGATAGACAAGTTTTATGTTTCATAAATAAGAGCCTCTTTACTAGAAATAGAAGCCTTAGTTTGCTATTGTATAACACAACTAAATACAAAATTAGCTTAAACATCATGATGAAAGAATCTGGCTAAATTCACAGTTGGGTCCAAATATGAAAGAACAGAATGAGTTCAAGGACGAGCTACCAAATATTCCAAATTTCTATTTGGAGATTGTTCTTCCTCCTTTCACTTATTAAAGATAGTGGACACGTACAACACCTTGGGGTCATATAACCGCAAGAAAATTTGCTCCAATTTTTTATCATTTAAATGCATAACACACAATTCATATATATTTACATTCTAGCACTTAAAACTTTTTTTGAATATCACTTAAAAAATAATACTGCCATTAATTTTTTTTTAAGGAATATATAGTTTCATAGATAGGTTTATGAACGAAAGTATCATAAAAATAAATATAAAAAGCTAGATGTTAAATACATAAGAGTAATATAGTATGTATGTAAATCCTCTAATTTTTTATTACTGGCATGCAATCATGTAACTAGAATAGCAGAGGACAAGTGTTCATGAAATTACTTTCTAATGTCGCAACTACAAAACTTCATAAATTGGGCAAAAATAGCTCGATACTACAAACATGTATTGCTCGATAGCACCAATGGTAATTATAAATCTACTATGTATAAATCTAAAAAGAATAACCCACTTTGGGATAGAAGAGAAGAACGGTAACAAACCTTGTATAAGTATAACCAAAATATTGTCGATCATACCTGTTGTATTTGCTTATTGAGGCAAGGAAGGAAACAACCTGAGAAGCTTATTCTGCTTGAATCGGCAAAGTAAAATTAGATCAGTAAATTTGAAGCAGGTGATCTTGCTAGAGACAAGGCTTGAGTCTTAATGATGCTTATAAGTTCTTCTATTTCCCTGTAGATGTGAAGGTTTTCAGAACATTGAGGGTGCAAGTCTATGGCTGCATGCTCAAGTATTTCCATGGCTTTAGCAGATGGTAATCCGCTATCCCAGTATTCCTGCATTTGATTAAACTAATTGTTATTTTTAGGGAGATTAACATACGTACCATATAATTCAAATGTACTTACATATTTAAAACCCGAAGCTTAATATTGACTTTTATAAAATTTTAATGACAAATAAACATCTAAAAATATGTATAAAAATGGGTGTAAATTAATATTAGAGATGTATTCATGTGATGTTAAAAAATTGAGAGCCTAAGTAAAGATTATATTTTAGGCATTAGATATGTAAATACAAAAGAATTGTGCAATATGTATGTAAATCCCACCCTGTTTTATTAATGTATATGGCTGGTACATAAGGCCCCACCAACATAAAGAAGCAATGCATCTATGAATACTAATATCTTTGAATAGCTTAAAAGCATAACAAAAAGCATAACATATAAAAGCATAACAAATTAAAAAAATAAATATAATGAATACCAACAAGATTATATAGGTTTCAATAGGCATTGTAAAAAAATAAAAAAAATTGAAGTTTGAGACAAACTTGAATTGCTGGTGAGGCTCTCTTGATTTTTGAAAAATAGAACCAATTCAGAAATGTAAAGAACAGTTATCTTCCATAATGATAAAGATATTGGAGACAGAGAAAATGAATGCTCTCCTACTGAAACGAAGGGCAGAAGAGGAGAAAAGAATTGCTGGTTAACACCAATGAAATGTGATTTTATCAGATAAAGAGAATGCTAATGTATTGCATGCATTGTGCACATCACACAATGCTACTCGAGGATTCATTCATATCCATGTAGTCATAATTCTGCATGCACTAAACTATTAAAAGTGGTATGGAAAAAAAACACAAGGAAAATTAGGTTTTTAGGTTATTATCATATTAATGTTCTCTCATGATGATTGTTTTAACTGATTAAATAGTCCTCAGGGCATGAACTTGAAAAAGCTTAAATTAGATCTTTTAATTACTTTTATTTATTGCCAATTCTTTAGTATTTTCCTTTCAAAGTCTTCTTTAGATTCCAAAGCGAACAAAAAAGAGATTTAGACTCAAAATTGGCAAAATTTAGAGAAAACTTACATCCTAGAAAGGCAAACTCCTTATAGGATCACAACATACTGTCGGTCAACTTTTTTTTTCGATATATAGATTTATTTGAAAAATATGATATATGAAAATAATTTTTGAGATTTAATTTAAATATAAAAGATATATAGTTTGGGTTTTGAAAGCATACAATATCATTAACGATGTTAAAATCAATTTGGAATGATGTTTAGATCCATAATTTATCTATATACAAGCATTATCATAATCATTTTAAGATTTCTCTGAATCCTAATTGTTTTCTCCTTTTCTTTGGTTGGAATCTTAATTCCTTTAGATCTAATTAATGTAATTTCAAAGCTTTATTGTTACCTGAATTGGATGAGGTTGAATTTACAAATTGTTTACAAATTGACTCTACAAAGTGGTTGCTCTCTCCAAAAGTCATTTTCTTGGACAGTTCCTTGTATTCTTTAAAAATACATGGAGGTATAATAGGCCTTTCTATAGTAGACAGAGTTGTGTTGTAACAGAGATGTGTTATTTTTATTCTGTAATATTTTGGGTGCTTTAAATGTAAATGATAAAGTTTAGATGTGAAATATATTAAACATAAAATTTTGAGTGCTATGTATGTAAATCTCCCATCATTATTATGTCCTCCAAGCTCACAAAGTGATCCAATCCATGTTGGCGATGGGAGTTTTAATAAGTTGGGTAATGTCTAGAGAGGGCGATGAATGATTAAGTTATAATGAGGATGTGTGTTCTAGAGTGCATAATTAAAAAGAGTGACCTTTAAGGTAATATAAAAATGGTCAAACTAAGAGTATCTCACATGGATCTAGTTTTCTAATTTTGTTTGACTCTTTTAGTAATGTGTTTAAGGAGTGTCTAAATGGGAGAAAATGATTGTAGAGGGAAAGCTTAGAATATGAAGTTATGATTTGGAGATTTTGGTAAATTTTCAAGTTTTTTAAGGGCTTGTTGAAGGTCTTAAGGGCTTGTTGAAATAAGGGGAACAAGATTGGGTAAGGGTTAACCTGCTGTAGATTGAGAACTTGTTTAAGGTTTCTAATGATATGATGATTGCTCCTGAGATGGTTAAAATATAGAGAGAGATGTTGGAGATATTTAAAAAAGATGTGAAGTTATAAGGAGAAACATCATAACTGATGGATAACAAATCTCTCCCACAAAAGAAAGTCAATGGCTCTCCCACAAAAGAAGGTCAATGGCCTACAACCAACCTGGTGAGGAAAGAAAATACATGTCTCTCTAGATTTTTGAAAAATAGAACCATTTCAGAAATGTAGACAACATTTATCTTCCATGATGATAAAGATATTGGAGACAGAGAAAATGAATGCTCTCCTACTGAAACGAAGGGCAGAAGAGGAGAAAAGAATTGCTGGTTAACATCAATGAAATGTGATTTTACAAATAAAGAGAATGCTAATGTATTGCATGCATTGTGCACATCACACAATGCTACTCGAGGATTCATTCATATCCATGTAGTCATAATTCTGCATGTACTAAACTATTAAAAGTGGTATGGGAAAAAAAAAGAAGGAAAATTAGGTTTTTCGGTTATTATCATATTAATGTCCTCTCATGATGATTGTTTTAACTGATTAAATAGTCCTCAGGGCATGAACTTGAAAAAGCTTAAATTAGATCTTTTAATTACTTTTATTTATTGCCAATGCTTTAGCTTATTTCCTTTCAAAGTCTTCTTTAGATTCCAAAGCGAACAAAAAAGACCTTTAGACTCAAAATTGGCAAAATTTATAGAAAACTTACATCCTAGAAAGGCAAACTCCTTATAGGATCACAACATACTGTCGGTCAACTTTTTTTTTCGATATATAGATTTA